CCTTCCTTCCTTCCTTCCTTCCTTCCTTCCTTCCTTCCTTCCTTCCTAGCAAAGCCTCTTTGCAGAGACCTGGAGAAGAGCTGGATGAGTCTCCTCTCATTCAGAATAGGAATAGTGAAGCCACCAGCAAGAGTGGAATGTCTGTCTGGACAGTAAAGGACAAGAATGTGAGCGGCCACTGTAGGTCAAGCCATGGCTTCAGACTGTCTCCAAGTGATGGAGAACAGAAGCCAGGGTTACCTGGACATAGTGGAGTTAGGTCCCGGGGTGCTGGAGATATGAACCATTGTTCATTATTGCATCCATTCAAATGTGTACAAATCTGAAGTTCAGATGAACAAATCCATTCTCATAGAATATTGTTTGATTTCTTATATTTCATAGTTAGGTAGCAAGTACCTCTGGGAAATATGCATGTATATGTGATTTTATTTCCATAGTAAGTTAAAAGTAAAAGAAGGAAGAGATGCATGAAACCTACTTTGGAAGGGACAGTTCATCAACATTGACTGTAAAGTGAGTGTTTCATATTAATTGTTAAAATTTACCATTCAGATTAGCTGTAGTCACATTTCCATATCCATTTTCATAAGTGTCTGTTCTGCTCTGTGATAAAGGATCACCCCTAGAGCAAGCAGCAAGGCTAGACAGTCTTACAGTGGTGATCACTTTGGACTAGGTCTGTTGTTTTAGAAGTCAGGGGAGATGTAGGATTTGAGAACATCTTCCACAAGCAGCAGAGTCCTTGATTCAGTCTCCCAGAGATGGAAGGATGGATTGAGCAGCAAGCCAAAGGCTGGCCCTGGCCACTTTAGGAAAATGTAGACTTTAAGAAATTGTGAGAGACCCATCAAAGGAATCAGAGACCAAGTAGCTAAAAGGGGGTTGTGGTGGAGGACATTATAATAGCACTTTAATAGCCAAGTACAGAAAGTGTTACAGTAGAACTCAGGTATCACTTGCTTAGAGTGCCATTGATTAGTTGAGTATGAAGATTGATTGATTTTTCTGATGGTGAATCTTTTTAAGTAGCAATTATTCTGTGTCCTACCTTAGGGATATCTATTTCTTTTTTTAAAATTCATTTATAAGAACACTTAACATGAGATCTACTCTTTTAACAGACTTTTAAAAAATTATGGTACAGTATTATTGTCTATATGCACAGTGTGCGCACATTAGACCTTTAGAACTTACTCATCCTGTGAACTTACTCATCTGGAATTTTATACATGCTGATTAGCAACTTCCCATTTGTTATTTTTGTAGCTTTGATAAAATTACTCCTTGTCATTCTTGCCTCCATTTCTAATTTTCTTGGGAGATACAAGATACCAAATTTTGTTGTGCAGACATCCTCAATTTTTCTTGCAGTTTTAAGATAACAAGTGTGAATTTGGCTCCTTAGGAACAATGTACTTTGCCATAACTCTACTCCTGAAAATCATAAGATAGAATTGTTTCTGTGACATTTTATAATTATCATAATTAAGTCACCCAAATTCTGACCCTTTGTCAAATATCACTTATTGATTTTAGAGTTTGTACATTATTCAATACTTATTTTAGCAAGTGCATATCAATCATTATTTAAAGAGTTTGATTGGCCAGCCATGTTGGCACGTGCCTACAATCCCTGCAACTCTGGATGCTAAGGCAGAAGGATCACAAGTCAAGGCCAGCCTTAGCAACTTAGTGAAAACACATTACAAAATAAAAAAATATGGGGCTAGGTTGTGGCTCAGCAGTAGAGCCCTCGCCTAACATGTGCGAGGCCCTGGGTTCAATCCTTAGCACCACATAAAAATAAAAAAAAATAAATGTATTATGTCCAATTAAACTAAAAAATAAATATATATTTTTTTAAATTAAAAGGGCTGGTGATGTAGCTCAGTGCTAGAGCACCTCAGAGTCAATTCCCAATACTGCAAATAATGATGATGATGATGATGATGATGATAATAATAATAACTTCATTGAATCTCTCTTTTCTTTTCAGAAAAATGTGATGAGCCACTGGTCTCTGGGCTTCCCCACGTAGCCTTCAGCAGTTCTTCCTCCATGTCCAGCAGCTATTCTCCAGGCTATGCCAAGATCAACAAGCGAGGGGGTAAGGCACATTTTCTTTCCTTTTCTAATAAATGTGTTAAATAAAAATGTGATTTTTACGACTACATTTTAAAATGTGTATCATTGGACAACAGCACATAGTAGGCACCCAAGTCCTTCTTGCCTTTCTACTAGAAGACCCACAAACACAGTGAACTTCTCATAGAGCCACTATTGGAGAATAACAGAGGGAAATCTAGGCTTTAAGTGGAGATGATAAGTCAAAGGGTAAGAATTTTGAAGTCACTTGCGTCAACAAAGTCAAAATAATATAAACATTCTGAGTTAAGGAAATTCTTTTTAATCAGAAAATTATTGACAACAATGTTTTTAAAATTGACTCCTAATATGTGTACCATATATGAAAAATAGTACTATATGTACAGAGATATTGTTCTTTTTTATTAATGTGTGAACAGCTTCGTATGAAAATATAGATAAATAAAAATGAGACCTTTATGATTTTTCCCTCCAGTGCACAGCTTTGTTATTAAAGCTGTATAAAAATAGTTATACATTTGCTTGAATTTTGAACCTTAAAATCACAGTATTCCTTAGCTATTGTCAATTTCAAAGTTGACAGTATTTCATAAAGAGTAAAGAAACACAATTAGAGGAAGAAACAGAAAACTCACTTCAAAGGAATACTGATAGAACTATCAATAGATGGCAATTTTAAGAAGAAATAAGCAATATTTTCTTGGGTAAATACTAATTGATATTAATTGATCTTGGGTAAATACTAATTGATCAAATACTAATTGATCACCATTTTTTTTTTAATTTTTTATTGTGGGTTGTTCAAAACATTACAAATTTCTTGACATATCATATTCCACACTTTGATTCAAGTGGGTTATGAACTCCCACCTTCACCCCATACACAGATTGCAGAATCACATCAGTTACACATCCATTGATTTACAAATTGCCATACTAGTGTCTGTGGTGCTCCACTGCCTTTCCCATCCTCCACCCTCCCCCCTCCCCACCTCTCCCCTCCCCTCCCCTCCTCTCTCTCTACCTCCTCCACTGTATATTTTGATTCAGTTAAAAAATTTAGAATGGAAGTTGCCAGGTCTGGGGAGGGGTGGGAAAAATGGAAAAATATTGATTGATAAGGGACAATGCTTAAGTTAAACAGAAGGAATAAGCCCTGTGGATTGTTGAAGAGCATGGTGACCATGGTTTCTAACACTGTTTTTTTTTTTTTTTTTAATGTGGAAACTTCTTGAAGAGTAGGTCTTAAGTGTTCTCACCACAGAAAATGTTCACTAAGTGAGGTGAATATACTAATTAGCTTAGGCTAATCATTTTGTAATGTACACATATAGCAAAGCATCATGTTTTAGACTATAAATATATAATTTTTTGTCAGTTTTACCATAATTAGGTTTGGAAAAATAGGAAGTACTAAATAATAAAATAGTATTAAACCATAGCCAATTCAAGACCCATAAAGTAAAAGGGAATAAATATAGAAGAGTAGGAAGAAGGGACAGAGGAAGAAGAGAAAGGACCATTAACAACATGAGAAAGAGAAAATCCGGAGGAACTTTTCTAAGAGGAAGAAGAAAAGTAATAAAAATAGCATCAGGAAAAGAAAAGAAGATAGTAGTGATTTAGTAAGACCAAAAAGGGGCAGAATATAGATATGGAAAGCTAGACCACTATACACAGAATATTTATGGAAATTTATAGATGTGTGAAGAGACCAGTTATGGTTTGGATGTGAGGTGTCCTGTCAAAGCTCACATGTGAGACAATGCAAGAAGGTTCAGAGGAGAAATGGTTGGTTGTGAGAGTCTTAACCCAATCAGTGGTTTAACACCTGATGAGATTAACTGAGTGGGAACTTGAGGAAGGAGGGGTGTGGCTGGAAGAGGTAGGGCATTGGAGGTGTGCCTTTCGTGTAGATAGTTGTGTATGGCAATTGGAGATCTCTCTCTCTCTCTCTCTTTCTCTCTCTCTCTCTCTCTCTCTCTCTCTCTCTCTCTCTCTCTCCTTTCTAATTATTTCTGCTTCCCTCTGCCAAATTCTTCCTGCATGATGTTCAGCCTCACTTTGAACCCTGAAGAATGGAGTCTGCTGTCTATGTATTGACAACTAAATAAATTTTTCCTCCTCTAAGAATTTTCAGGTCAGATCTTTAAATCACAGCAGCAAAATAGCTGACTAACATAAGCCCTTGATCAGTAATAAGACTTGGGGAGAGAGAGACACAGGCAAAACAGAGGGGTGTAGATAACAACATGGTGGGTCTGCTTTAATGACATTGTTAGTTAGATCACCTTTGATGAGCATGAGATAGTTGGCAAGTTACTCTTACTATTTTTTACCAGAAATTCTGCTTGAAGATGCTGATGTAATGGAGATGTTAGTTTATTCCTCTTCCATAAAAGATACTAGATACAACAAAAAAATGAATAGTGATAGAAAAACATGAAACAAGAAGCTGACCATCCCCACATACTAATGCTGCAGAATTTCCCAGCAATATGAAAGCTGCAACAAAATGTAAAAGATAAAGGAAATAACACATAGTCCAGGCACCAAGAGGGTAGCACATGCCCTAAAATACCTGTCATGATGCTGAAAAATCAGCAATAATGTTAATGCAAGGAAGCCAAGTCAGAAAGTGTTGATTCCGGAAATTTGGAAGGAAATACGACTGAAGACCATGACTTGCACAGTGCATTGGGGCCTCCGGTTATATTAGGCACACACACTTCAGAAACATGAATGACACCATCTAGTCAGTGATAAGAAAATGAAAATAAACAATGCATAAGCCTTGGCCAAATAGCTGGTCTTGAGCAAGGGATCCTTTCAGTATAACTCTGTGTCTAATTTAGAAATTAGAGTTGTATGTCAAATAAAAATGGTATAGACACAAGAATGCTAAAGAACCAGATTGTGGGGATTACACAGATGTGTGCTTTTAGATCAGGGAGCACCACATGCAGAAACTTTAGTTTTGAATTTGTGTTGTCTTTTAATTTTTAGAAATTAACATTTTATAGAACAACTGCTTTTTGTTCTCATTCAATTCTAATGAAGTTATATTAAAACCTGTAGGTGTTTAAGTGTACAAGATGACATTCTAAATTACTTAGAGACACTTGTCTATTATTTACTCATATAAGTAGAGTGTGAGATTTAAACAAACTTTTAAAATGCTAATATATTTTTAACCCAGATGGTCAGATTTGAAGAATGTGTTAACTTTCATTATAGTAGTTTTCTCTGCAGTTTATAGAATCTATATAGATTCTACATATATATACTATATAGATTCTACATGTGAATGTGATATAGATTCATATATGTGTGTAGAATCTATATATATTATATTTAAAGATAGAAATAAAGATGGATGGATAGAATGCATTTGCAAATGGAACATTGTTCAAAAGCAAAAGACTATTTGAAAAGATGCAGTTTCTGACTCTCTGACCTGCAGTTCCTCTCTCTTTGACTAGTGATAAAATGGATTTGCATGCATCAGGGTGGAAATCATACTGGGGGAGAAAATTCTGTCTCTCCGAATACAGCAGGTTATTACTTCAGTATGGACCATTGTGACAACATTTTTTCTGCTGGAATTTTACTTATTTTTGGTTTTCAAAGTGATATACTATGTTGGTACATATAACAACTTTGTCTATTCATATGTGCTATTTACCTAAGTGTTGCAGACTCTGGGGTAACAAACGCTATGCCCCCCATCCTGCCTTCAGGCTGCTCTGCCCCTTCTTATACAAAAGACTCACATGTGTGAGGTCAGCGATGACTGGTCATGTTGGTGTGATTCAGAGAAGGTGATATCAGGAGGAGGAGTATATCCTCTCCAAAAAAAAAAAAAAAATAAGAAACATAGAAAGGAAAGTTACATGTGGTTGTTTTAATAGACAACAAAGTTTTCTCTTCCATTAGAAAAGTTCATAGGCAAATGCCTTTGGGAAAAATGCCTTGTTAGGTGAAATTCAGGCTAAGATGTATATGACAAATAACCCTTACTAATGCAGAATGCAGTATTATTTTTAGTATAGTGTGATAGTAAATATCTGAATGACCAGGGGAAAAGGCAGCAGAGAATTCTCAACAGAAGAAGAAGAAAACAGATTTATGTAAGAGAAGCCAGGAATTTTGGAGTTGCGTTTTTGTACTTCACTGGTGGCAAGAATCATCTGACATTTACACTGCACAAGCATCCAAAAGTGAAAAGATCACATTTGAACACAGAAAGAAGTTGGCAACTTAGTAATTATACAAATACAGAAAAGAACATATTCTGCTCAGCATTGTGTTGATAAACATTGACACCAAGTTTTATTATTTGCTTAAATTATATTCCTCAAATATATTTTAGAGAGAGAATCTATGTGTTTGTAAATCCATAGAAAAGCAGAATATGAATGCAAATACACATTTAGATGACAGATTTTCTGTCATGCATTTCTTCATTGAGTTTAGTTTTTCAGTCCCTGCAACCCAAATTCATCTGCTGTAACCTTGATATCAGGGGCTGGTACAAAGCTGGGAAAGATGTGATCTTTGGTGGGAATCCAAGTGTGACTCCCACATCCTTTGGAGCCACTGTTTTTAGATTTTTTTTTTGTTGTTGTTGTTGTTACTGAGGATTGAACTCAGGGGGCACTAGGCCACTGAGCCACATCCCCAGCCTTGTTTTTTATTTTACTTAGAGACAGGGGTTCTCTGAGTTTGCTTATTTTTTCCTTCACACCTTCCTCATTGATTTGTTCTGATTTGCTCTTAACTGAAGAAGCCCTCCAGATCTTGTGTGATTGTTAAGTACATACCAGTGAAATTTGTTCCTCTTTCCTAGGTTAACAAAGATATTAAACCCTTTAGAGTTTTAAGAACACTCTCACTGTTTTTAAATTTAAATAGCATTTTCAGATTATAGCATGCTGTTGTATGTGTTCTAAGTGTCTCTTGACTTTCACAGCAACCTTGTTAGACAAAACTGTAAGTCAG